ACATTAAGAGTGTCGTCATCACACCAATGCAGTGAACATTAAGAGTGCCGTCATCACACCAATGCACAGAACATTAAGAGTGCCGTCATCACACCAATGTTCTGAACATTAAGAGTGTCGTCATCACACCAATGCACTGAACATTAAGAGTGCCGTCATCACACCAATACACTGATCATTAATAGTGTCATCATCACACCATTACACTGATCATTGAGAGTGCCGTCATCACACCAATACACTGAACATTAAGAGTGTCGTAATCACACCAATGCACTGAACATTAAGAGTGTCGTCATCACACCAATGCACTGAACATTAAGAGTGCCGTTATCACGCGAATACACTGAACATTAAGAGTGCCATCGTCACACCAATGCACTGAATATCAAGAGTGCCGTCATCACACCAATACACTGAGCATTAAGAGTGTCGTCATCACACCAATGCACTGAACATTAAGAGTGTCGTCATCACACCAATACACTGATCATTAAGAGTGTCATCATCACACCAATGTACTGAACATTAAGAGTGTCATCATCAAACCAATGCACTGAACATTAAGAGTTTCGTCATCACACCAATACACTGATCATTAATAGTGTCATCATCACACCATTACACTAATCATTAAGAGTGCCGTCATCACACCAATACACTGATCATTAATAGTGTCGTCATCACACCAATACACTGAACATTAAGAGTGCCGTCATCACACCAATGCACTGATCATTAAGAGTTTCGTCATCACACCAATACACTGAACATTAAGAGTGTCGTCATCACACCAATACACTGATCATTAATAGTGCCGTCATCACACCAATGCACTGAACATTAAGAGTGTCGTCATCACACCAAAACACTGATCATTAAGAGTGTCATCATCACACCAATGTACTGAACATTAAGAGTATCATCATCACACCAATGCACTGAACATTAAGAGTGTCGTCATCACACCAATGCACTGAACATTATGAGTGTCGTCATCACACCAATACAGGGAACATTAAGAGTGTCGTCATCACACCAATGTACTGAACATTACGAGTGTTGTCATCACACTAATACACTGAACATTAAGAGTGTCGTCATCACACCAATACACTGAACATTAAGAGTGTCGTCATCACACTAATACACTGAACATTAAGAGTGTCATCACACCAATGCACTGAAAATTAAGTGTTGTCATCACACCAATACACTGAACATTAAGAGTGTCGTCATCACACCAATGCACTGAACATTAAGAGTGCCGTCATCACACCAATACACTGATCATTAAGAGTGTCGTCACCACACCAATACACTGATCATTAAGAGTGTCGTCATCACACCAATACACTGAACATTAAGAGTGACATCGTCACACCAATGCACTGAATATTAAGAGTGCCGTCATCACACCAATACACTGAACATTAAGAGTGTCGTCATCACACCAATGCACTGAACATTAAGAGTGTCGTCATCACACCAATACACTGATCATTAAGAGTGTCATCATCACACCAATGTACTGAACATTAAGAGTGTCATCATTACACCAATGCACTGAACATTAAGAGTGTCATCATCACACCAATACACTGATCATTAATAGTGTCGTCATCACACCGTTACACTGATCATTAAGAGTGCCGTCATCACACCAATACCCTGAAAATTAAGAGTGCCGTCATCACACCAATACACTGATCATTAAGAGTGTCGTCATCACACCAATACACTGATCATTAAGGGTGTCGTCATCACACCAATACACTGATCATTAAGAGTGTCGTCATCACACAATACAGTGAACATTAAGAGTGCCGTCATCACACCAATGTACTGAACATTAAGAGTCTCGTCATCACACCAATACACTGAACATTAAGAGTGCCGTCATCACACCAATACACTGATCATTAAGAGTGCCATCATCACACCAATGCACTGAACATTAAGAGTGCCGTCATCACACCAATACACTAAACATTAAGAGTGCCATCGTCACACCAATACACTGATCATTAAGAGTGCCGTCATCACACCAATACACTGAACATTAAGAGTGTCGTCATCACACCAATGCACTGAACATTAAGAGTGTCGTCATCACACCAATGCACTGAACATTAAGAGTGCCGTCATCACACGAATACACTGAACATTAAGAGTGCCATCGTCACACCAATGCACTGAATATTAAGAGTGCCTTCATCACACCAATACACTGAGCATTCAGAGTGTCGTCATCACACCAATGCACTGAACATTAAGAGTGTCGTCATCACATCAATACACTGATCATTAAGAGTGTCATCATCACACCAATGTACTGAGCATTAAGAGTGTCATCATCAAACCAATGCACTGAACATTAAGAGTGTCGTCATCACACCAATACACTGATCATTAATAGTGTCATCATCACACCATTACACTGATCATTAAGAGTGCCGTCATCACACCAATACACTGATCATTAATAGTGTCGTCATCACACCAATGCACTGAACATTTAGAGTGTCGTCATCACACCAATACACTGAACATTAAGAGTGTCGTCATCACACCAATACACTGATCATTAAGAGTGCCGTCATCAGATCAATGCACTGAACATTAAGAGTGTCGTCATCACACCAATACACTGATCATTAAGTGTCGTCATCACACGAATGCACTGAACATTAAGAGTGTCGTCATCACACCAATGCAGTGAACATTAAGAGTGCCGTCATCACACCAATGCACAGAACATTAAGAGTGCCGTCATCACACCAATGTTCTGAACATTAAGAGTGTCGTCATCACACCAATGCACTGAACATTAAGAGTGCCATCATCACACCAATACACTGATCATTAATAGTGTCATCATCACACCATTACACTGATCATTAAGAGTGCCGTCATCACACCAATACACTGATCATTAATAGTGTCGTCATCACACCAATACACTGAACATTAAGAGTGCCGTCATCACACCAATGCCCTGATCATAAAGAGTGTCGTCATCACACCAATACACTGAACATTAAGAGTGTCGTCATCACACCAATACACTGATCATTAATAGTGCCGTCATTACACCAATACACTGATCATTAAGAGTTTCGTCATCACACCAATACACTGATCATTAATAGTGTCGTCATCATACCAATGCACTGAACATTAATAGTGTCGTCATCATACCAATGCACTGAACATTAAGAGTGTCGTCATCACACCAATGCACTGAACATTAAGAGTGTCGTCATCACACCAATACACTGAACATTAAGAGTGCCGTCATCACACCAATGCCCTGATCATAAAGAGTGTCGTCATCACACCAATACACTGAACATTAAGAGTGTCGTCATCACACCAATACACTGATCATTAATAGTGCTGTCATTACACCAATACACTGATCATTAAGAGTTTCGTCATCACACCAATACACTGATCATTAATAGTGTCGTCATCATACCAATGCACTGGACATTAATAGTGTCGTCATCATACCAATGCACTGAACATTAAGAGTGTCGTCATCACACCAATGCACTGAACATTAAGAGTGTCGTCATCACACCAATGCACTGATCATTAAGAGTGCCGTCATCACACCAATGCACTGAAAATTAAGAGTGTCGTCATCACACCAATACACTGATCATTAAGTGCCGTCATTACACCAATACACTGATCATTAAGAGTATCGTCATCACACCAATACACTGATCATTAATAGTGCCGTCATCATACCAATGCACTGAACATTAATAGTGTCGTCATCATACCAATGCACTGAACATTAAGAGTGTCGTCATCACACCAATGCACTGAACATTTAGAGTGTCGTCATCACACCAATACACTGAACATTAAGAGTGTCGTCATCACACCAATACACTGATCATTAAGAGTGCCGTCATCAGATCAATGCACTGAACATTAAGAGTGTCGTCATCACACCAATACACTGATCATTAAGTGTCGTCATCACACGAATGCACTGAACATTAAGAGTGTCGTCATCACACCAATGCAGTGAACATTAAGAGTGCCGTCATCACACCAATGCACAGAACATTAAGAGTGCCGTCATCACACCAATGTTCTGAACATTAAGAGTGTCGTCATCACACCAATGCACTGAACATTAAGAGTGCCATCATCACACCAATACACTGATCATTAATAGTGTCATCATCACACCATTACACTGATCATTAAGAGTGCCGTCATCACACCAATACACTGATCATTAATAGTGTCGTCATCACACCAATACACTGAACATTAAGAGTGCCGTCATCACACCAATGCCCTGATCATAAAGAGTGTCGTCATCACACCAATACACTGAACATTAAGAGTGTCGTCATCACACCAATACACTGATCATTAATAGTGCCGTCATTACACCAATACACTGATCATTAAGAGTTTCGTCATCACACCAATACACTGATCATTAATAGTGTCGTCATCATACCAATGCACTGAACATTAATAGTGTCGTCATCATACCAATGCACTGAACATTAAGAGTGTCGTCATCACACCAATGCACTGAACATTAAGAGTGTCGTCATCACACCAATGCACTGATCATTAAGAGTGCCGTCATCACACCAATGCACTGAAAATTAAGAGTGTCGTCATCACACCAATACACTGATCATTAAGAGTGTCGTCATCTTACCAGTCAAATGACGCAATCACGGATGTTACTCGATGGTTGGGAAGCCCGGGGACGTCATCGGCAGTCGCGCGCCGGTTGACGTCATCCCGCGGGGTCGTGGGCATCGGAGCAATTTTCTCGAAACATCGATTCGCGTAGCCTATTAAATATTCGTGCATCGATTCCCAAGCGCAACGATACGCAAACGATGCAAAGTACGCACACGTTGCACGCTGGCACTTTTTTCCTCAAAGTAAACGCTGGAAATTAACGACTGCGCGACGGCAATTAGTCGCAAAGTGAACGACGCAGACGAGTCGGGCACCAAGCAAAAATAATCGGAACCGTGTCTGCTGCGAATCGAATCGGTTACCAGTACCTTTCGACGAAATCGAATCGGGCGCGTGTGGCACGGTTGGTGTTATAGTGGAAGCGATTCGCCGTCAACTTTGGGCCCGCAAGCCTGCGCCGTTCGTTATTGTTCATAATCATTCGCAATTACTTAACGACTATCTATTATTACGACTCTCGCTGATCAACAAGGCCTGTTTGACGACATTCGTTGCGTCGGCGGTGTATACACACTGAACGGGATAATTTCGCGTAGAGGCTCCCAACACGAATCCCGCTGCTGTATCACTCGACATCACGCCACAGTACGACGCAATAATTATTAGTATTAGTACGATTGAATTGACCATAATTAGGCGATGGAGGGCGAGCCGAGGATGACCCCGCTGTACGACCAGGCGCTGCTGGGCGTGCTGCAGCACGAGGGGAACATCGAGGCGTTCCTGGACGTCGTCTTCGGCTTTCTGTACCGACGCACCGACTTCTACCGCCTCATGCTTACCCAGGGCGACCGCCTGGGATTTCCGCCCGGCGTGGCCGAACGCATCGCCCAGCGGGTACTGGCAGAGCCTCTCCGCCTCCCCCTTCTCTCTCTCGCTCTCGTTCTGCGTCTCGTCCCTCCCGAGCTTTGTAAACGTCCCAGTGTTGTGAGGCTGCTCGGTTTTGTGGCGTCTCCGTGTACAGTACACTACAAGTAACCGGCCTGATTTGGTGCTTTCGTGACCACAGGGGTTGCTACTCTTTGCATTATATTTCTAGGTTTACTTGGTTCTGTTTTCTTGGTTCTTTCGGTAATTTCGCCACGTAGAAGGGAAACAATAAAATAATAACAATATAAAGCAATACAATTCTCGCGACGTTTCGACTGCAACACAAGCAATCATCATCAGGTGTGAAAACCACAGCAAGAAAATTTAAAAAAAGTGGCGGTCTTTTTTAACATTAGCACCACGGAGAGCGATTTGGCAGTTTGTTCAGATGGACGAGTCCATCTATTTTGATTTAAAGCTTTCGTGACTGCAGTAATTCATATTCTTAGTTTTTTCGGTAAAGTCACGTTGAAGAGAAACAACAAAATAACAAAATATATATAAAACAATAAAAATTCTCACGACGTTTCGACCATAACTCAAACGGTCATCATCAGGTGTGTCGGTTTGCATAAATTTATTTTGAAAACGCCATATTTATTTAGTAGCAGATCATTGTTCTAATTCAGTAGGCTCACATGCCATTGACTTTTCCAAGACGGAGGTTCTTTGTAAGCCATCTGGCTTCCATGAGAGATTCGTTCATGAGGCTATCCACATATACAAACACAGAGACAATTTCAACCGAGAAGATGGATTCTATCTTAGCAATCATTGGAAAGATTTGATAAATCATTTCAGTTCTTGATTGATTGTTCACGCTTACAGTGGCTTTCAGACAGCATACATAAAAACAAATTTCGTCTCCCCCCTCCTCTTTTCAAAAAATAGATGGACTAGTCCTGGCAAACAGCCAATCGTTGCGCGTGACGCAAACGTTATTTTTATATAAATAAATAAATATGCCGTTTTCAAAATAAATTTATGCAAACCGACACACCTGATGATGACCGTTTGAGTTATGGTCGAAACGTCGTGAGAATTTTTTATTGTTTTATATATATTTTGTTATTTTGTTGTTTCTCTTCAACGTGACTTTACCGAAAAAACTAAGAATATGAGTCCATCTATGTTCGGAAAAGAGGAGGGGGGAGACGAAAACTAATGGATGCGGCCTGAAAGCCACCGTAAGCGTGAACAATCAATTAAGACCCGAAATGGTTTATCAAATCCTTACAATGATTGCTAAGCCAGAATCCATCTTCTCGGTTGAAATTGTCTCTGTGTTTGTTTATGTGGATAGCCTCATGAACGAATTTATCATGGTAGCCAGATGGCTTGCAAGGAACCTCTGTCTTGGAGAAGTCAATGTCGTGTGAGCCCACTGAATTATAACAGTGATCTGCCACGGCCGAGGTGTTGGTCCTACCGTGTTTAAGGTCTGCTTTGTGTTCACGAATGCGGTCCGAGACATGTCGTTTGGTTTCTCCAATGTAACTACTACCACAGAGGCAACTTAGTTTGTAGACGCCAGGGTACTGTATGTCTGGAATCACATCTTTTACAGATGGAACCAGATCACGGATTCTATGTAATGTGTTGAATCGGACCTGGATCTTGTGTTTATTCAAGATTTTGGAGATCTTTTTTTGTGATCCCCGCAATGTAGGGTAAAGTGATGGTGTTGAAAGGCTCCTCAAGAGGGTCCTTCTTCATGGTTTGAGTGATAGCTTTGTGGATTGTGAAGTCGGAGTAACCGTTAGCCTTAAGAGCTTGGTGTACGTGCTTGAGTTCACTGGCTATGTGTTCCTGGTCGGATATGCATTGGGCTCTATGGTGCTGAGTCTTGATGAGGGAATTCTTCTGTGATGGATGGTGGTGGGAATCCGGTTTCAGGTAAGCATCCGTATGCGTAGCTTTCCTGTAGACAGAGTGGCTCATTGAACCATCAGGTCTCATTTTTATTAGGACACCCTGCATTCACGAAAGCTTTAAATCAAAATTTAACCGCCTCTACGGGGATGGTTTTCACATAACTTTGAGATCCTTCAATAAACTCCGGGATAAGAAGGCTCAGCTGATCGAGTCTTTCACCTTTCTGAAGAGATGCCGCGACTCTGGGGTCGCATTTACACTGACCTCTGCTGCTGTAACTTCTTCTAATGCGAAACGAGTTATTTACAGAACTAGCTTTGCTCTTATCTCAGAGAAAATCAGACTTATACGCACCGAACTAGATCATTTAGACAAGACACTCTACAAATCACACTTATCATTGACGGCAACAATGTCCACATCGGATTGGGAACATGTAGACAATATGACTGCCTCTTCAGCTGCCACTATGTCGACCAACTGTAAGGACAACCTGATTTCCAAATTTAACCTCCTCCAACAAAAGACTGGACCCACATACCAAATGCATATCCAACCAGGAACACAGCCAGTGAACTCAAGCACGTACACCAAGCTCTTAAGGCGAATGGTTACTCCGACTTCACAATCCGCAAAGCTATCACTCCAATCATGAAGAAGGACCCTCTTGAGGAGCCTTTCAAAACCATCACTTTGCGGGGATCACAAAAAAGATATCCAAAATCTTGAATAAACACAAGATCCAGGTCCGTTTCAACACGTTACATAAAATCCGTGATCTGGTTCCGTCTGTAAAAGATGTGATTCCGGACATACAGTACCCTGGCGTCTACAAACTAAGTTGCCTCTGTGGTAGTAGTTACATTAGAGAAACCAAACGACATGTCTCGGACCGCATTCGTGAACATAAAGCTGACCTAAAACACGGTAGGACCAACGCCTTGGCCGTGGCAGATCACTGTTATAATTCAGTAGGCTCACATGACATTGACGTCTCCAAGACAGAGGTTCTTTGCAAGCCATCTGGCTACCATGAAAGATTTGTTCATGAGGCTATCCACATATACAAACACAGAGACAATTTCAACCGAGAAGATGGACTCTGGCTTGGCAATCATTGGAAGGATTTGATAAACCATTTCGGGTCTTAATTGATCGTTCACGCTTACGGTGGCTTTCAGACCGCTCCATTATTTTTGTCTCCCCCTCCTCTTTTCCAAACATAGATGGACTGGTCCATCTGAATAACTGCCACATCGCTCTCCGTGGTGCTAACGTTAAAAAAAAACGCCACTTTTTTCAAATTTTCTTTCTGTGGTTTTCACACCTGATGATGATTGCTTGTGTTACAGTCGAAACGTCGTGAGAATTTTATTGTTTTATATTTTTATTATCTTATTGTTTCCCTTCTACGTGATTTTACCGAAGGAACCAAGAATATGAATCCCTGCAGTCACGAAAGCTTTAAATCAAAATTTAGGTTTGTTTTCTCTTTCATTTGTACCTGATGACGATTGCTTGTGTTGCAATCGAAACGTCGTATGCTATTATTTAATTCATTATTTTATCTTTCTACATGACTTTACCGAAAGAACCAAAGGAGTTAGGCACTGGCCTATTTCGTGCTCGCTTTAGTCACGGCGACTGACGTTAATTATCGATGCGTCGAGAGCCACTTACATCGGGTACCGTAGCCTTGCATACAAACCCGTACGCTTGCAAAGACGGCCATAGACTTGGGCATTCTATAAACCTCATGCTCGCCCCATGGTGACCGCATGGGCTTACCACCCGGCATGGTCCAGCGTATCGTTTCTTCTTTTTCGTGTGATTTTTATGAGCCAAAAGTCCCACTGTTTTTTCATTTCATGTACATGTATGTACTTCTCCGGTCACACCCCCACTGTTCTTACATAGAAAACGAATTTGGCCAGTGCACTTTCTTCATAGCATGTGCTATGATGAAGGGGTATTAATTAAGGCAGTATTTCAATTTAAAGCTTTCGTGACTGCAAGGATTCATCTTCGTTGGTTCTTTCGGTAAAGTCACGTAGAATGAGAATAAAATAATAAATTAATAAAATAACACCATAAAATTCTCACGACGCTTCGGCCACAACACTAGTGGCCTTCATCAGGTGAAGGGACTAATGGTTACTCCGACTATACAATCTGCAAAGCTATCACTCAAACTATGAAGTAGGACCCTCTTGAGGAGCCTTTCAAAACCATCACTTTACCCTACATTGCGGGGATCACAAAAAAGATCTCCAAAATCTTGAATAAACACAAGATCCAGGTCCGTTTCAACACATTACATAAAATCCGTGATCTGGTTCCATCTGTAAAAGATGTGATTCCGGACATACAGTACCCTGGTGTCTACAAACTAAGTTGCCTCTGTGGTAGTAGTTACATTGGAGAAACCAAACGCCATATCTCGGACCGCATTTGTGAACACAAAGCAGACCTTAAACACTGTAGGACCAGCACCTCGGCCGTGGCAGACCATTGTTATAATTCAGTAGGCTCACATGACATTGACTTTTCCAAGACAGGTTCTTTGTAAGCCATCTGGCTACCATGAGAGATTCGTTCATGAGGCTATCCACATATACAAGCACAGAGACAATTTCACCCGAGAAGATGGATTCTGGCTGAGCAATCATTGGAAGGATTTGATAAACCATTTCAGGTCTTAATTGATTGTTCACGCTTACGGTGGCTTTCAGACAGCATACATTATTTTTCCGTCTCCCCCCTCTTTTCAGAACATAGATGGACTAGTCCTTCTAAATAAACTGCGAAATCGCTGCGCGTGGCGCTGACGTTTTTTATAAATAAATAAATACACCGTTTGAAAATAAATTAATGCAAACCACCACTTCTTTCAAATGTTTCTTGCCGTTGGTTTTTTCACAACTGATGACGACCGTTTGTGTTATGGTCGAAACGTCGTGAGAATTTTTATTGTTTTATATATTTCATTATTTTATTGTTTCCCTTCAACGTGACTTTACCGAAAGAGCTAAGAATATGAATTACTGCAGTCACGAAAGCTTTAAATCAAAAGGTCACTTGTGTTGTGGCCG